CCATACACACACACACACACACAATATAAGTGACACTTTATTTTAGAGTTATTATGCAATCCCTTCCATATACAGTACACAATCAGAAGTCATGACAAATATTTTTTGTAATAAAATTAAAATATATTATAGTAGGTGTTTGACTTCTAGTGTATGATTTGTTTTTTCTGGTTCTAAGATTTCATAGACATTAGGGGTTGGAAGGGACCTCCTAAGATCATCGAGTCTGGCCCCCCTGCCATAGGCAGGAAGTCAGCTGGGATCACGTGATTCCAGCAAGAAAACTATCCAGACGTTTTCTGAAAGACTCCAGGGTTGATGCTTGCACCACCTCTGGGTGGAGTTTTTTCCAGACCCTGGACACACGCACCATAAAGAACTTGTTTCTTATGTCTAGTCTAAATCGGCTTTCCTGGAGTTTATCACCGTTAGACCTTGTTCTGCCTTCGGGAGCTCTGGTGAACAGCTGTTCTCCCAGGTCCTGGTGTACCCCTCTGTGGTAGGGCACTGTTGATGCCTGCCACTTTAAGGGGTCTGAAGACAGCAGCTGGCAGGTGCCTGATGAGGGCAGCTCATGTAAACAGGACTTTGCTACTAGGAGGCCAGGCAACAGCATCACTTGGCTGCACGTATCATCTGGAGGTAAGGGAGGAGCTGTAGGGGATGGCCAGGAGGTTCCTGGTCCTGGGCATGACCTAAAACTGCATCCTGCTAGGAGTGGGTGGCCTGGTAGGGCTCTCAGTGGCTCGGGAGCCCCAGGAAATGCCAGCTATCACCCTGGTGAAAGGCAGGTTGGGGCACCTTAACCACAGCTCCCACAACCAGGTGGGTTACCTCTTTGTGTAGGGTCTGGAAGGTGGACCCCAGTGAGAGAGTGGGATCATAGACTCAAACCTGTCTTAACATCCCTCAACTGGTCCATGCTAGGGCCAGGACCAGAAGGGCCGGGTCCCACCACGAGGGACACCCAGAGCTGAGGGCCTGGGGCTCTGACTGGCCTGGAGGTGGGCCAGGGCCAGCAGAGCCAAAGGTCCCAGGGGGGACCACACCGGTAAGGGGGAGCAGCCAGGAATGAACGCGGCATAGGCTGCTGGAATGGAGGGATCTTAGAGGGGTCCTGATCGGAGAAGTGCGGGGCCCAGCATGGGGCCAGTGACTGTAAGAACTACGGATGGCATCTGCAAGGCTTGGGCTGCAGCGTAGGGGAGGAACGGAGCCGCAGATAGTGCCCCCTGGCATTGGGGCAAGAAATGGGCAGCCTCCTCTTAATTAACATCAATTAATTAATTATCATCAAGGCATGGTGGGCAGTTAGCCCAGAAACAGGTGGGTGGGCAACAGAGAAAGCAGCCCCAAGAAGGCCCCCTGTTACACCCTCTTTATAATTGTAGGCTGCCACCAAGTCTTTCCTGAGACTTCTCTTTTCCAGACTGAAGAGTCCCAGATCCCTCAGTCTCTCCTTATATGACCTGCCCTCCAGGCCTTGAATTATGAGTGGCTCTCCCCTGGACTCTCTCAAGCTCTTCCATATCCCTCTGGAAGTGGGGGCCCCAAAACTGGATGCAGTACTCCAGCTGTGGCCTCACCAAGGCTGAGTAAAACAGGAGGATGACATCCCTGGCTTTGCTAGAGATGCATCAGTGGATGCACGCCAGAGTTAGGTTTGCTTTGCCAGCCACAGCATCACATTGTGGACTCATATATTCATCTTGTGGTCAGTCAGGATCCCCAAGTCTCTTTCGGTCGTGGTGCTAGCGAGCGTAGCGCTGCTGAGCTTGTCAGTATGTTGAGGCTTCTTCCTACCAAGGTGCAGCACCTTACACTTCTCTACATTGAAGGCCATCTGGTTTTGGTCAGCCCACCTTGAGAGCATGTCCAGGTCGGCCTGTACCCCCAGCCTGTCCTGCAGTGTGACCGCCCTCCCCCATAATTTGCCAGTTCGCATCTGTGTCCCCCAACAGCTCGCCAGAACTTGTCAAGCAGCAATCCACCCAAAATAATTGCCTGCCCCGATCTACTGTTATTGAGAAATGCCTTTGGCTGCAGCCTCTGAAAAAAAGAAAACGAAATGTGATTCACATAAGCCTCACTCCTATTTCATGCATAAACAGTAGAAACCTGAGGGGGGAGGAGAACATCTCTGCCAGTACAAGAGCCCCAAACAAGGACCTTGATTCTTGGCTTTTTTGCACCTTGAGTAGTTGGTTGCCAAGGCCCAGTGGACATGCAATACTGCAGATTGGAAAGGCAGCAATCTTCACTCTTTTACACTGGTGTGAATAACTGCACAAGGCAACAGGAGGCCCAAGAAATTCAACTGACTCCAATAAAGTTATGTTGAGGATGCAACATGATGCCGGAAATGGACCAGGCCTGAATGGCTTGCCCAGATCTGATAAGGGATTCTTCCTTGGGCATATCTGTTCCCAGACTGAGCAGCTACTTTCTGTGGGAGACAGAGCCACAATTGTTATTGTAGTCCCAGCTGTTCTATATAAAAAATTTAAAACAAAGCACATAACAGAGACATTCAGCAGTCAATCATCAAACAAAAATGTGATGATAACTATGATTCTTTGCAGCTGTCATAGGCTCTCCAGGGTCTCTGCTCTTGGCTTGGGGAATGCACATCTCTTATAACGGTTGAGGTAGTTTTGTTGCCCAAGGCTGCGTGACAAGTAACTCATGGGTTGGTTCTGGATTCTAGTGATCTCCAGGGCTTGCTAACTCTTCCAGAGCAGATGGAAGAAGAGGTATGTGGCAGAATGCGACGTAGGGGTGCCGTGACCTCCCCTAGCGCCCCTACCTACCGTGCCAAATTGGGGTCTTGAATGCACCCTCTCTCTCGCCCACCACGTCTTATTGTTATATCATCAATGGGAGGCTGCCTTCCTGCCCTCCTTGGCACGGGGCCGGCCTTGCTATACCGGGTCTCTATCTGACGTGCTCACTCCCCCCTCGGGTCTGCTCGGTCTGTTCACCCGCCCTGGAGCTTACTGCGTACCTGCCCTCTCCCGGGGCTCACTGCACACTCACCCTCACCGGGGCTTCCCTGGGTACATGCCCCCTCCCGGACTTCTCAAACAACTCACCCGCTTCCGGGGCTTCTGCCTCACCGACAGTGCCCCACTGGGCCCGTCTCCCTGTGCTTGCACTCCTTGCCCACACTCAGGGCTCAGGCGGCCTTGGCCTTACCTGGCCCCAGACCCCTTCTAGGGTCCTATGCCCGACTCGGGCTTCTCCCGATTGGGGCTCAGGCGGCCTTAGCCTTACCTGGCCCCCAGACCCACCTTCTTGGGCCTATGCCCCACTGGGCTCTTCCCAATTGGGACTCAGGCAGCCTTAGCCTTACCTGGCCCCCAGACCCCTTTCCTGGGTCTTGCGCCCACTGGGCTCATCCCGATATCGCCCACACTGGGGCCAGGGTCGGGACACCCCAAACGCAGCGCCCCCTATGGCGCTAGGAACCCCCCTCTACTGGGGAGCTCCTAATGAGGCCTCCTCCACCCCTATAGCCTCACCCGGTCCTCTGGTTTTTAATTACAGCTATCAACACTCAAAGCCCCTCGGCTACAACAAAAATCTTAAGCCAACCTGGCTAACCTTCTCTCATCCCTGCTAGGGTCCTCTCCACCCTGTATCCACACAACACTGCCCTGCTCATTCTAGCAGAGCTCTTGCTCCTTAAACTGCCAGAGGGGAACTGACCTCTGGCCTCAGCATCTTCTGTTTATACAGGCCAGGCCCTGCCCCCTTCCAGTCAGCTGACACAATCAGTTGCTGTAGCAACTCACACCTGTGCTGCCCTATTGAGTGGCAGCTAAGCCCATGTTACCATTATCAGTAGCAGGCACCTTAGTGCCCTACTATCTTGGTCTAACACAGCACCTGACCAAAAGTGGACACTACCACAGGAAAGCAGCTGACTAGTCCATGCGCCTGGGTTTTTGACAGCTGGATAAACTTCATTTGCTCTAACATTTGTAGCTATTCAACAGTAAGAGAGTGGTACAAGAATAACTGAATTCCATACTCCAGGGTATCAACTACTAGCCCACTTGGTTTAGAAGCAACTTGCCGTTCCCCCACATCCTGAGCACAACACAATTAAACAGCCACCTGATTCAAAGTTCACTGAAGCCAATGGAAAGTTTCAGAGGCTGGGATAAATGGACTTTTCTATTACAGAGCCATTGCCACTATAGTTATGCTGGCATAGCACTCCTGTTCTAAGCACATACTTCCTTATATCCAGAAATGCAAGACATAATTTCAATCCATCCAGATGATCTCACTCTTTTTGTCCCTTACCACTACTTCGTTTCTTTCCCACACCGTACCTAGGACTGGACTCCTCTTCTCCCCATGGGTGCAAATATATTCTCAGCTGTTGCTCTCCTGAACAACCCTTCCCTTTCCTCCAAAACAGACAGGAAAAGTCTCCTTTTTCACTAAAACTGTTCACCTTTCTCTCCCTGACTGTTACCTCTTACTTAACATTACAAAGCACTTGAGGAGCAGTAGCAGTAGCTTACATTTGAAATGCCATACAAAACAAAGCAGCATGAAGTTTCATGACCCAGCAACAGCATATCCTTCTGCCACCTGCACCAGATGTGCTTACTCATAGTCAGGGGACACTCAGTGGGTACAACATGCTTGCTTTGTGATAAACAGGTGTTTAATGTTTTGTAACTACTCAAGGTTTTCCCTTGGTACCTGGCTGCAGGAGTTTCCTCCTTGGTGTGGCTTGAGAGAAGGATAATGATGAGTTAATTAAGCAGTCTAAATTGTCTAACCTCATTATGTAACTATAAAATAACACAGCAAGGTAAACAAGCCAGAGAGATCTGGTTGTTTGTAATCTGGGAGTCAATGCTGCACCCAGGGATGGAAAAAAGCTCAGTTTAGAGATGCCTTTCTTAAGGTATTCTGAGGCCATTAATATCCAACAGACCTGCATTTATTTTCCTTCTATAGCTTCCAGCCCAGAACCCTAATATGCATTAAAGATTAACTCTTTAATCCTCACTACTCTTTTATGAACTAGGTGGTTGCCCCAATTTGCAGATGGGTAACTGATACACAAAGAGATGGTTCACTTAAAACCACACACACATCCCCCAAGAGTGACTCAAGTAGGAACAGAACCTGGGAGTCCTGTCGTGCAAACCCTTTGTGCTAATCATTCCCTCCACTCACACTGCTAGGTGGAGCTGGAAATTGAACCCAAGAGTCCCATCTCTTTCTATCTTACCCCACTCGCTGCATGGCTCTGTCTGATTTTCCTGAGCCTACCCCTGACATAACAGCAGGGCTTGCTGCAATAACAACACTGCCAGTAACCAAGCAGTGAAGTCACTGCAGCCAAGCCTACCTAGTTGCCATGTGTGCCACACTTCTCCCCACACAACCTTTTCTAGTTGTGCAAACACACTGGATGGACAGGCCTGGAAAATATAACACGGAAGGACCTGGGATCAAAGCTTTCTCCAGTATGAGTGCAGGAGAAATGTTAGTTAATATACCTTAGAACTGCCCTGGAACATAGGGGAGTATTTTTATTTGTGTAGCAGGGTAAACTGAGGAACCAAGAGGTGAAGTGATGTAGCCCAGAGTCAGTAACTGGCAACATCAGAATGGGAAACCAGATATTCAAATTCTAAACCAATGCTGTAATTTAGAAGAGGAAGAAGACAGGGTGGATTTCCACATTACAGACTAACTACAGAGATGGAAGCTCATCCTTCCTCTACCTTCTGAGCCAGCAGCAGGAGGCCGAGGTGCATGAGTTTTCTGGACTCCGTGCACCAGTTCACGGATGGCATCTTGGTCTGATCACAGCTTAGGTTAAGGTAGAAGCTGGTTTTGATCTGCCCAGGAGGAATCTTCAGCCTACAGCCTTTTGGATTTGAGCAGTGCAGGATGAAATGAGGGAAGGAAGGGAGGACAGTTTAAGAACAGACAGAAGGAACTGGGAAGGGAGGGAGTCAGAGACAGATGGCCATAAC